TGGTGGTCTAAGTGTAGACTTACATCTCAATTTGGAGTCAAAAGCCTTGTTCGATGGCTGGGGTCGGGTAGATAGAAAGCTTTTGAAAAGAAAGCATGTTGTAGAGTTGTTAGAAAAGTTTGGTGTGGATGAAACTCGTGTAGACGACTTCATCCGGTTGTATAGTCTTCTTGTGTTCAGTTGTATTTTATTCCCTTGTTCGAGATATTCTATTCCGATGTTTGTTTACCCTTACTTGGAGTGTGTAAGCTGAATTTCTGAGTATGCATCGAGAGATTCTACTCATAAAATTCTTGATTTGGGAGCTAGTTCGCCATACAAAATCGAAAGACTGATCCTACATTGATGGATGTTCAGTGGGATTGATGGTATGTATATATTTGTCTCAATGTTTTAATAAAAAAATATTAAATTGTAAAATTGTGTAATTATGAAATCATGTATATATGTATGCTTGGTTGTACGAGTGGCTCCCTTCTTTGGGCAAGAGGTCGACGCTCAAGACAATTCATCATCTATTTCAGTGGGCGGGGAGAACATTGTCGTCAACAATTGAAGGGTATTTGCAATCCCTTCAGAATATCATGAGGTAGGGTAATTTATATGGTTTTATAGTATTATGTGTTTTCTTCTTCTTTCTTTTTTATTTTTTATTTTTTCAGTTAATCGACATTGTACGTAAATCATTATGATTTTCTTTATAGGTATATTCGATATTGCCTGTTTTTTATGAGTGTATGTGTGTGGAAAACTGGATTTTTTTTTTTTTAAATTTTAGTCGAGAATTTATATTTTAGCATTAATAGATTTCCATATGTACAAGGATCCTTTAATGTATGTTTTCTTTTAATTTTTTTTTTTTCAGGGAGCGCTTGTAAAACCAGCTGTTGGCAATGGTATGTAATGAGAATGACAAATTATAAAAAAAAAAATCAAGAGTTGGAGCCGAAGATAAACAAAAAGAACAATGAAGAAAAAAAAATGAACAGCCTGCTGAGACTGAGGGTGATACTGATTTTGATCAGACTGAGGAGGAAAAAGTGGAGGAAAATGAGGAAGAAAATGAAGAAAATGAGGAGATAAAAGAAGAGGAAAAAAAATGAGGATGGGGGTGATGAAAGATGGGATCTGATGGTGATTGAGAATGAGAAAGTTGTAGAGAACGAGTTTCAAGATTTGGACCGACTGGTTGACCTTGTCGTGTAGTCTGCTTGTTTGAGCAGAGGAAGGCTGGAACAAAAGGGCTATCGGATGAGTCAAACTCTGAGCACAGTGCTCAGAGCTCCTGCCGACAACCAGAGAAGAAACACCAGCCTTCCTCCATGGTGAATAGGGTGCAGAAGAGGCAAGGGAGGACAAAAAAGACAAAGCCAGTGGATTTTATGACACCCCGTCATCCGGTCCGAAGAGACAAATTAAAGGAAGGAAATTACAGTTGGTGACCGTGATTGATGAAGGGGTGATGAAACTAGCAATTTTATTTTTGTATTTTATGTGATTGTTCGTGTTGTTTTTATATAACTAACAAATTGTAATGTAGGAGGGTGACAAGAGTGACGCCGATGATGATTGTTCATTGAATGAGTACAAGGAAAAAGCAAAATTTTGTGGACATGGGACATTACAGGAAGAGAATGATGAAACCATCCGATCATTTCTGACAAGCGATCACCTGAGGTAACAGAAAACACTTCAGTTTTTTAATTGTTTCATTTCTGTTATGTTACATTAATTAAAATTACAAATTTTGGTAGCAAAATTGTGTGGAGCAATGACCAAATAGTGATTCAAGAGAAATCGATATGTGCTCTTTTGTTCGGGAACGAGTTGGATTCTCAACTCGTTGATTGCTATATGGAGATTCAACGAGGCTGCCATCCCCACATTCAATTTTTGCCTACATATGTTCAGGTACTTTTTTAATATACTATATTAATTTTACTGATTGTTAATTTTCTTAAAAAAAATTTAATTTGTGGAGTGATGTGATAGTGTTGTCCAAAGAATGAAGAAAAAATGCGCTTGGAAAGCTGAAGATTATAATACGTGTGTTGCTAGTCTTTGTACAAGTACTACTCCCGTGCTCGATGATGTATTGAGGTCCTTGACTGGGGTGAAATATGTTTTATTCCTGTGCTATTGAAATTTTCACTTCTTCGTACTCGTCTTGTACGTTCAAGACAAGAAGTTTGTTTACCGTAACTCTTTGGGATACTTCTTTTTGCTCGTTCCGTTGATGGCTATTTATGAAAAATCATCCCGTCATTTATGAAACAAAAATCAGAACCAATTAAAAAATGTACTTTTAATTTATGAAACAAAAATCAGAACCAATTAAAAAATGTACTCATAGTTGAATTAAAAACTCAATGCATATTTATTTCATACTTCGATGTTGATGTAATCAGATAAGATGTCGTAAATTTTACAATAATAAATAATTTTTTTCTAATTTATATTTTCCAATATATAATGTTGTGGTGAATTAACTTCCTAAAAAATAACATTTGTTTTGGGCCAATCGATTTTTAATAATAAAAAAAAAAGAGTAATGCTATACGTACATAATATTGTACATAAGAGTGTACATATCACTCGCATTGAGTGGTACCCACAAAAAATAAAAAATCAAGTGGACCCCATCTCTATGCACATTTATTATGTATTTGTAGCATTTTTCTAAAAAAAAATAATAAAACAACTAATGTAAGTCTAAATTACGCAATCCGTTAATTAAAAAATATATATACACTCCACAACGTGTAATATATAATTTAAATTAAATAAAT